AAATCCTGTGTCAAATATTTCCATAGGATGTATTATTGAGTTATATTACTACTCTTAAGATAGTTAAGTCCAAAACAAATGAAAAATAGCTGCAGATCATCACTAAAACTTCATAAGTGTTTTTTAAGATGTACTGTATTTGAGCAGTGCATCCTACGAGAATCTTTAACACGTCGTGGCATAAAGAGAACGATGATCTATAATAGAAACTGTCTCTTCAAAGCTGGAGAGCTGATTATATACCTTTAACTTGTTAATTATTATTAAAATATTAATTAAGTTGTAAAAGAATGCTAAGAAAGCTCATGATATTGAATTGTTAAACGTCCAAAAAAAACGTGTAGTTTAGCTCTTTTTTGAAGCTCTTTCTAATAGTATTCTTCAAATTGAAAAACAAAATGAAATGTGATAATTACACCTATTAATTATTAACTATTAAGTAGGCATGATTGATGGTTATATTCAATTGCTGTCTTCGGTTGTTTTGCCGGTATATATGCATCAAATTGTAGTCTGTTCAATTCTGTGCCGAACAGAATATTTTTGAACATTTTCATCGGCCTTTGATTAAAAAAATATATGCGTCTATTACAAAAAGTGTCGTAAGTTTTTGTCCTTCACTTAAGTGCATTCAACAGGTGAGAAAAGAAAAATTATTATTTCAATGAATCAGATGTTTTCTTTATCAACTAGCAGACGGAAAATGATTACATGGCACAAACAGCACACTCGATAATTACTTTTCGATTTTGAAATTGATTTCATTATCAAAGAAAATGCCACAGTCACAATTGAATCATTTAATTAGTAGATCGACGTTATCAAACAAGGGCTCCCCTTATATTGCCTAGTTCTTACATTTTGATTATTTTTCGTTGCTACACATTCAGTATATTCATATCAGGTAAGAACTAAGAATGTGTGAGTTTCTACATGTCCAATGAAAGTTTGCAGGAAAACAATTGACGCTCGAGATCTCTGCAAGGTCGAAATTTTGGTAGTCAAAGAAAAAAAAAATTTCAGAAGAAGATTTCGTTTAAGACAGCATAGCGCGGATAGTACTGATCGTAGGTGCAGATTTATCTTACTCATATTATTATGGGTGACGTTTAGTGTCTAATACCTAATCACATTTAAACGCTTGTTTCTCGCATTTTAAAAACGTGCCGTTTCCGAAAATATTTGGAACTAGATAACGCTATATCTGTATAGCGTGTCCCAGAAAATGTTCCCCTCTTTAAAAAACATTTTATGAACATAAATTTTTCCTATGAAAGATTATTTTCATTAAAAGATAGCATGAATATTTGTAGTTCTTTTGATAAAAGTACTTTTCCATATGAAAATCCTATGTTTACAAAAAAGTAGCTGAATATCTAGAGGAGCTTCAGAATTATTAATAACAATATTTATATATGTGCTAAACTTATCTTTCGAAGCGCAGTTATGTACTTATACAACAATGCCACTGCTCTTATAGTTCTACCTGAGTCTATTTCTCCATAAAAGCTGTCAGTGTTAATCTTCTAAGCTTTGACATTTTATTCCTTCGTCGAAGAAAGCGGAAATTTAGATATAGATTCATATAAATAATTTTAATAACTCCTGGAATCCATTGAATTTTGAACTTATGTGTTTCTGTGCTCTGATTTAACATGAATGTTTATTCCATTATTGCATATGAATCTAATTTGTAATCTAAATTCAAACTGCAAAAATGGTATTTGTGTGAGTGTGAGTGATCATCTCTTCTTTTCTCACAGCCATATTCGCCAACACCCAAACACTCATCTTTTCACCTCAGTTTGTCACTGTCTTTTCAAACATGCAGTGCTAGCTATCATAAACAATCAAAGCTCTTCCTCTACAAAATTCTATGTGTCATGTGTTGCTGTAGATTATAATAAGCAGACTTTTTTGATTGTTTCTAGATACATACATTCTCAAAACTCGAAAGTCAACTACGCACCTTATTGTCATACAATGCTATTTGGGTAAGTTGTTTGTTTTGTATTTTATGCCATCAAGTTTTATTGTGAAACAATACAAAAATCTTTTAAAAAGCTCCTAGCATAGTTTTGATTGATAGGAATCATAAGATAGACATTAGATTAGTCCTCAATCACACTCGATACAATCAACATGAAAAATCACGAATGAGAAAACATGCATTTTTACGATATAATGAGATCAGCAGAAAATTTAACTTTTTGTTATTTAATTCCCAAGTCAATCAACTTTTTGCTCTTAATGAATTAAACTGAATGGAGTTTTGCTAACTCAACTTTCCAAACATCCACGTTCAGCTGGAGTCTAGACGACAAACATCATAGCTCTTTAGGAATTCTGATAATAGGAGTTGCTGAAACGATAGCATGTGTTATAAACATAGATTTCGTCATTTTCAATTAATAATACAAAAAAGATGTACAACCTCAAGAGAATTTCGTTGAATACAAAGTTTATGAATTCCAGCAAGATGCCATTACCTAAACAAATCCTTCTTTGTAGTACTGCTTGTGTCATATTGTGGGACTACTCTTGGATGGATCAATTATTTCAGATTCACGCAAAGTTTGCAATAAGCTCGAATCTGTCGGAAGCATTCCTTCAATAGATTCAGTTCGAAATTTCATAGGAAAATCTCTATACATATTATTCAATAATGTTTAAAGTAACTAACCTATCCAGTCGAGTCTGCATCATTGAAAATATATAGAACACGTCAGTATGCTGAATCTGTGGCAGTTCTCACTTTGTTTTCAAAACTTGATCGTTGAGGACATGATACTTAGTATCATGCCATCATCCGAGAAAAAAAATTCGATTCCATGACTGTTGTTCGCGTACAAATCAGTCAAAGGGTGTTTTTCATTCTTCTTCTCAGCATAACTTCTTTGTTTTTGAAGTAAACGAACGTCTTAACTGCGGTAGGTATCATAGATGAAGAATTGTGTTTTGAAAAAAATAATCTGTTTTTAGACATAGCAAGATATTTACATGGACAACAGTAGTTGCCTTTCTCTGTACTTTGACGAGCATTGCTGCAGTTGTATTAGTGCTCATCCCTTCCTTAATTCCAACATATCTGCCAATTAAATCGGTCACACCTATCACCAATGGTAATGTAGTATCTTCTGTTATTTGATTGAATGACTTTATTTTAGATTCAATTTAGACGCATTCGGCTTATCACTAACGTATGGAACTAACTTGGAAAGTCTTCCTTCATCGACGCTGGCCGATACATCTCAAATTGTTCAGCAGGTATGTGTTTATCTTCCAAATGAACTGAACTAATGATTGTGATTGTTCAGCTTGGAAATTTATATAATCTCCAAGCATATGTAAAGCCAACGACCTCGTATAGTTTTATTTCGACCAATAATGCATCAAATAATGGCAGAAAAAGGGTCAGTGAAAGCTTTTCTTATTCCATTGATAACTAATATTTGTTCTTTTTTTTTATTATAGATTTATTACCAATCCAGCACAATATGAAAATAGCTTGGGGTCGACTGCCTGCTTATTTGCCATCCGACTCGCAGTACGATATCCCAAAAAATTTAAAATCAAGAAGCAGCAAAGTATATTTGAAAACAAAGTCGACATGGATATTCGTAATACTCAGAAAAAGTTATCAATACCATTCACATTCGCAAATGGACAAACAAAATACATCAACTTAACATTTTGTTCACTTGAACGAGTAACAGGTATTTTTTACGTTTAATCAAATATATACATTATTCAATGCCGAAATTTAAGATGAATAACAAATAGACCAGAACATGTATTTAAAATGTTCAAGAAAATACGGAGTTTCAACAGCTACATTCAAGACGTTGACTTGTTTTATTTATCCAGAGGGTCGAATAGGCTTTCATATTATAATCTGTTCTTCTGAACTGAAAATGCATAGTTTACTATTTCAAGCATGAGGATAGAAAGTGAGATATGTTAGGATATAAGATGCGGTAGGATCAAGTTGAATACTTGAAACCTCAGAGAACGGTGTGGGTGTGGGTGTGGGTGTGGGTGTGAGGGTGGATGTGGGTGTGGGTGTGGGTGTGGGTATGGATGTACAGAACAACTACACCAGTACCCACACCCACATCTACACCAACCCACACCCTCACACACCCACACCCACACCCACACCACACCCACACACCCACACACACACCCACACCCACACCCTAGAAATATGCACTTTGTGTAACAAAAAGGCTTTGTTTCGACATTGTTTTTCTTTTGCCCGTTTTTGACTACAATCGGAACCTCAATTAGCTGCCACAAATGGTCAAAATATTTGTCGCATTTTCATAGGCTTTTTCATTGTTTTGTCTGCTTGACTGTTCCTCAAACCATATCAAGCAACATATTAGATTCTGTTGAAGGTCATTAAACGTCATCGTATTCAGTCGTTTATAGCCAACGACAACAGTAGCAATGACTGTTTAGACAGAGAACGAAAAACGCTTTATCTGCCCTCTTGACGACGTCGTTTAAAGATTCAAAAGCTGAAGTCAATAGCAACTCAGACAGTAAAGTTTTGCGACGTGAAAGAGTATGATTGTTTCTGTTTTATTTCGAAGCAACGTAACTAAGCATTTCATATATGACACATCTGTATGCATCCTACTCGTATGATTCGCTTACCACCTTTGTCTATTATAAATAATGCATCAAAGTGAGTGAATGCCCTGCAAACTTACCTTTCTCTTTTCAATAATATCAACCATCTTCAAAATGCAAATTTTTATGATTTTGCTCGGTAAGTTTAGCAATGAATGGAGTGAGAGAACTATAAGTAATGATTTTTGCTTATGTTCAAAGTTACTTCTTCGTATTTCTGCATATTGACGGCATCGGTCAAAATTAGTCCTTGTGCAAAATGGAATAAAACAGGTACCATGGTAGCTGGCACTACCAAAGCTGGAAACTCCTCCGATCAACTATTTGGGCCACAAGGGATTTTTATTCATCAACAAACAAACATGCTATACGTGGCTGACAATAATAATAATCGAATTCAAGTTTTTTCTCTTAATCAGTCGTCGAATATTGGCACTACTGTTGTATCTTTCGTAGCGGGTCCTCAACGAATCTACGTCGATACTGACGGGAATGAACCAACACTTTACGTCACAGCTGTCTACCCGTATTGCGTCTTGAAATATGTCAAAGGAGCATCAGTTAGTGTAAAAATCGGAGATAGTTTGTTTGGATGTTCGGGTATATCGATTGACAACGAGAAAAATATCTATGTGGTAGCCTCATACTTGCATATTGTGCAGAAATATTCACCTCTAACGAATTCCACAACGATCATTGCGGGTCAAAGAGGCGTAATTAACTCGACGAGTAAACATCTCAATACTCCAGAAGGTATCTATCTTGATCAAACTAGTGGTGCAATATATGTTGCTGATACATACAATGCTCGTATACAAAAATGGCTCAAAGATGCACAAGAGGGTATTACAGTGGCTGGATCTAGTGAAGGTTTTGGAGGCGGTGACGCTGCATCATTATTAGGTCCTAAGGATGTGTTTGTCGATAAAGAGACGAATGTTGTATACATTATTGATTCATTCAATAATCGAATCCAACGTTATCTTCCGAATGCAACCAAAGGTGATACCATTGCTGGTGGATTCGGTAGGTGAATTTGACTTTAGATATTGTTTTATACAGAAAGGAAAAACATGACTTCAATTCATGATCTATTTCAATAGGCTATGGCAATGCAAGCAATCAGCTTTGGGACCCAGTCGCATTGGCTTTTGATAGCAATGGCAATCTCTTTGTGAGCGATACGTACAATAATCGAATTCAAATGTTTACTTTAATTGACAATCGATCCTGTTCTGAAATGTCAACAGGTAATTTGCAATTCTATTAATCTCTCTTGTTCATTTTATAAATAATTGTTGATGTTTATTCGGATTAGGTTCATCAATGCACAAGTAAGTAAAAAACTAAACTCACTTTCTTCCTACTGGTATCTCTCTTATAGAATAACTATGAACACGGTCCTTCTGTCAATTTTTGTATGGGTTGTTTCAAGACTGTTGTAATCACATTCTGCCGATATTTTTGATCACTGAAATTGAAGACAATTGTGTGATTTTTTCCTTAATTCATTTATTCTTAACCGACTATCCTATTTTAATTATTTGCTAACCACTTCTATTTCTGGAAACTTTCTTTTAAGTTAATATATACTCCAGAATCAACAAGAAAATATACTCGTGTATGTCGACTATGCGACACTCAATAGATTAGACCGTAATCGACGTTCAATGAACTTTTTCAAAATGATTTTGAACCCAAGTCTGACTAATTCATAGACAAAACGACATTCTTTGGATTTGTAAAACGTTAGACTTGGTAGTTTACTCTGTTCTGGATTCCGAACGTTATATAAGTGATTTAAAATCGATCACATGCCTCTTGACTATGCTACTTGTAGGAATGTTCTTTAATTTCATATATCTCGTCCCTTCCTTGAGTAGTCAGAGCATGATCTATTCGATCTCAAAGTTCTTCAAAAATGCTACTAGTGAATGAATGGTAAAAAGATCATTGCGTTCGATTTAGTGATAACTGAACAGTTTGATTTTCTCTATGGAATAATTCTTTTTAAAACCAAAACAGTTTAAAAAAGAAATATGAGCAGATCAATGTTCAATATATCGGTCTCGAATTCTTAACGGCTATCTCCTGATTATTGCATTATATTGAGCGCAACAGATGCTGCAGTGATTGAACTAAAAGGCAACCTTATCTTGTTCTAACTGGATTTCTTAAGAGCTAGAAGAAAAAAGTATGAAATGCAGAAATGTCTCACTGTTGTAAATTCAATTCGTTCTTTATCAGGTGTGGGTGTGCGTGTGGGTGTGGATGTGGGTGTGGGTGTGGGTGTGGGGGTGTGGGCGCGCGGGCGGGGGCGGGGGCGGGGGGCGGCACGGGGCGAGGTCGCGGGTG